ATATGGTCTAAAATTTGACAGGTGGACAAATCTAAGCTTGTTTTTAATAAAACAAATATAAATATGGATATAATAAATAATACTGCTAATAATAATAACATTATACAAAAGCTAATTGAATGAACTGAAAAAGCCTCCCGAGATGAAGAAAGTAAGGCAGTGGTTTTTAAATCTTCATGTAGGCTAGAAATTAATATGTTTTGTAATATTTTACAATATTTTACGAGCTAAAAGTAGCAAAAGAGTATTGCGCTGCTTCTTGCGCCACATTGCGCCGGGTGTATGATAGAGCCCCTAAAGTTTAAAAGATGCTTTTAACTGTTTTAACAGCTGTTTAACTGTCAGCTTATGATTTGAATCCAAGGTGGAAGAAAGTAGTTCCTCATACAAAAGGGTTTTTGAGACTCTCCATGTTTGATTTAGTTAGTAGATTTACTCGTGGCAGTGCGATATGGCTGTATATCAGCATGTATATCGGCCAACGCACGCCTCCCACCAGTGCCGATATACAGCCATATCGCACTGTTACTCGTGTGATATTGCACATATATATATATATATATATATATATATATATATATATATATATATATATATATATATATATATATATATATATCGGTTCGTTTCGGTTCTGTTTGCTGTGGCGTTAGGGTTGATGTCATCTTAACAGCAATGCTTAGGAACAGTAGATTCACTTAATAACAAGAACAATTAAACTTTTTCTTTATTAACTTTGCCATCACAATTTAGTACAGTCAGAATACCTGAGTAAACAACAAAAATTAAATACATACCTCCAATATAGATTAGTCAGAAAAAAACATTAGTGCAGCCATTTTAACTAAGTAAACTAAAATTAAATAAATAACTGCAGTGTAGGGTGAAAGATAAACAGGCTTGTACTCTTTAAGGACATTTGAAATATTTAATTAGGTTTTAAGTTCTTCTTCAAAAACACCGAGATGTCCACATTCTCCGGTGAAAAGCTTGATCTCTGTGTAGACACAGACATAGTGATGCTCATTTTTGATTAAGTTTTAATTTAGATAGATAGAACTACAAGTTCCCTCTTCTCCAGATGGCCTGTCCCAGGGACGCTTCGCGGTCCGTTAGCGGCGTTCTGGGCAGGGGGGGCTACCTGCTTCCGAGGTGCTCAACGCGCTCGCTTCGCCAGAGGCGAGTGCGGGGGCGGTGCAGCTCTCGTAGGTGGGCGCCTTTGGCGAGGAGCAGGTATGAATGGCACGGCGGGCGTAGCGGGCTACGGACCGCCGATAAGACTTCACTCATCAGACTGCACTCTCACCGCCTCGAATTCCTGGGTGAATTCACAGACGGTGTCGCCGAACATCCCAGCTGGGGATATGGGGAAGTCAAGAAAGCGAACTTTGTCGACTTCGCGCATATCAGCCAGGGGTGGCGCTCCTGAATCACTAGTGTGGACATCGTCCTCCCCAACGCACACGCAGCGGACTTAGTAGTCCGAAGAGCTTAGTCGGTGGCGGTGCGAAGCTCATAAGCCTGGGTTGGACCCACCCTCGCGCAGCTCGGCCAGCGCCTGTGCTTGGTAGCGCTGGTAGGTGGCTATGGCATGCAAGGCGGAAGCAGCCTGGCCCGCAGCCTTGTAAGCTCTAGCTCCGAGGGAGGCAGATAACTTACAGGCTTTGGATGGGAGACGAGGCGAACCCTGCCAAGAAGAGGCGCCGCGCAGATTGACCGCCATCGCACACTCAACTTGAGGAATCGCCACATACCCCCTGGCTGTTCCACCGTCAAGAATGGTGAGGGTGGAGGGACACGCAGTACGAGCAGAAAAAAGTGCCCTTCAAGACCGCGTGAGCCTACTGTGCACCTCCGGGAAGAAGGGGACGCCCCTCTAGTCGGTCCGGCCGCGGAGCTGGGGGATAAACCATCTCTAACCCACGGCCAAAGCAGCCCGGGAAAGCACGGCTAAGATGTCTGTTTCAGGATCCGTTTTGACAGCGCTCACCTGCCCGGAGGGGGCGAGCGGGTCTGGATCATCATCGGACAATGAAAGCCCACCTTCCGATGCCGCGGTGGACGTCTGGTCTCCGGTGTCATCGAGCGTAAGGGCTACCATCTGTTAGACGGATCACTTCTTCCGCCCGAAGCTTGGATGGAGCGCTTAGAGGAGCGGGAGGTCCACGGGCCCATGGACAACGGAATATCTCTCGCTGAACCCTCAGATCTGCCCGAGTGCCCGCTGCAGAGCAGGGGACAACTGGGGTGGTTTGCCCTTTTGCAAAGGCTAGCCGCGATCTTTACTGCGCAACAGTCATGGCATCGCAATGACGGCATTAACTGCCCACGAGCAGCGCATTAACATGCTGGACCCCCCAGTCATGCAACGTAGTGCCCGTGCCCATCATCCGAGGACAGGAAACCACCGCATCCAGAAACGCACAGTCGGAGCGCCGTCCTGAAAAGAACGTGCTGCACGACTGTGTTGCTCTTTTTGTGAAGTTGCAACTTTATATGCACTGCTCTGGAGGACCGGACCCAAAGAACGGCAGGCAAGGGAGAAACCCAGCTCGACCGTCTGCCGCTGCGTGAACACACTCTGGATGGGAGAATGCTCTCGTTCACTCGGAATCGCTGGATCAAAGCAGAAGGAACCCTCATCGACTCGATCAGAAAGTCTCTGAAGCGAAAAGGATGGCATTTGCTTGCTCCATGCAATGAAGCACACCTGCGCAAGCTTACGCTGCCAATTCATTGCTTTCATTGGCCCGTTCAATACTCTTTTAGATAAGCGGCTTCTGAACCGAATCCTTCCATACGTGGATTTTCAAAATCAAATCCACTGTATAGCACTGAAGTTCCCCAACCGAAGGGGAACTACAAGACCACAAAAACTAAGCAACAACAACAAAACAGAATTTAAATGAGCATTAGATGTAGCGTTATATGGACATCAGGAAAATAAGACCTGTGGAAAAATGTAAGACCAAGAACAGCAAATTTAAGACTTTTTATGGCCTAAAGTTTAGATTTTCAAATTTTAGAATTTTTAAGACTGCAAAAACCCTGTTGAATTTAATTCATAATTCCCTTATTATATATAAAAAAAAAATATATATATATATATATATATATATATATATATATATATATATATATATATATATATATATATATATATTTTTTTTTTTTCCACGTCACTTCCCCTAAAATAGATTCTTTTTTTGTTTATTTTGTAGACAACTGGCCAACAAAAATCCATAAAAATTAAGATACAAATTATACCAAATGAAATTTATTAGGCTATATGAAGTGGTCAAAAATTGTTTTAATTTTTCCTGTTGCTATTTTAGGTTTTTCATCTATTGTTTCATTTTTTTTTTCTCAGTCTTTTCAGGTAAGAATCCAAAGTAATTAAAAATTTTATTTTATGAGCCGTTCTTTTAAATAGAGTAACTAGTTGTTGTAGCTACTAAATCATATTGACAGGAGCAGAAATTAACTGATTCTGGTGTGCGTTTGAAACGTCAGAAAACATCATACAACGTGCAACCTTAAAGGGCTTTCACAGACCATTAAAAAAATGGTCTATAGTTGCACAATCGTGTAAGCATTTTCGTAACTTTTCCACATGTAACATTATCTATTGTAGATAGACTAATCATTAATGGCAATATTTCTATTTACAAACTAGAGTGGCACCGCCAGTATTTTAGCACCATAGAATCGCGATACTATCATAGTACCGGTATACCGTGCAACCCTAGCAGCAAATAACCTTTATTATAATACTGGAAAGAAGTAAATTGAGCATATTATCAAAAAAGAGGAGGTCTTCTTTATGTTAAAAGAGATATTTGGATTTTTTTTTTTTCGCAATGGAAATAGAAGCAGAGGATTCTGATTCAGGTCTGCAGTTGCAATTTATGCTGCATGCAATGCTTTTTAATGCACACACATAACCCTGCACCTAACCCTAACCCTACCCCTAACTGTTATGTCACTATCTCCATTGAATGCAATGTGTCTGACATTGCAAGTTCGAGATTTGCAGTTTCAATTTGCATAATCAAGGCCCCATCTAAACATTATTGTCATAAGCTGTTAAATTAAAACATCAATGAAAAACTCAACACAAAATGATTATACAGAAACTAAAAAACATTTAATAGGCATTTGTACTGTCTTATTCATTGTTGAAGTGAACTCAAGTAAGTTCAGTGTAACAAAATCTGTTTTGACAGTCAGTGTTTCATAGTATTGTGCATAAGAAATATAGCAACTTGTGGAAGTAAACAATTCTCAGGTTTGAATATAGCATCGAGATAACCATTTCATGGCAGAATATCCTATAACAACACCTCCTGAGACTTCATAAGCAGTACTTTTATGCAGAATGAAATGCATAAAACAAAAATGCAAAAAGGATTCAAAGAAAAAATATACAGATATGTACAACGCAAGAACAGAAAGCTTGTTTTTTTCTACAGAGAAAACTCAAAGTAGAAGCAAAAAGCAGAAAAAAGTCTTATCTCATTTATCAGTGTAAGGGCTTTTTTTTCACTCAGTAATAATAAATATGTTAGCAGGATTTCAAGCTGGACTTACATAGCATCAGATTGCATCCTGGAAATAACATAATATTAGTAACTCTCACCTCTGCTTTTTTAATCATTTCATTTTGAAGGCAAAACATAATTTAAAATATGTATAAGATTTACTGAATCCACCAAAAGTATTTGAATTGATCATACTTAAGAGTCTTATCTTTCAAAATAGTAAGGTAATCTTAGTGTTGATAACATAAACCACCTGCCGCTTCTTTGTAATATTTGTGGCAAAAACAGATTTTTATTACTGCTAATAGAAAAATATGGCAACTAACATCTCCACCGTTGACCTTTATAAATCGATATATATATATATATATATATATATATATATATATATATATATATATATATATATATATATATATATATATATATATTTATTTATTTTATTATTATTTTTTTTTCCCCATTGTGGCGTCAATGTCAGTTTTAATCAAACACGTGGTCAAACAGAAATATGTTTTTGTAGATATACTGAAGAGTCCGGACATAATTGTTTTGTCTCATTGTGTCAGTATCTTGCTGAGAGGCGTGCGGAGAGGTTACGTGATTGCCCACACAAGCGAACATGTAACTGAAAATTGTGCTGTCAAGATATCAGTTTTGTGACAGGCCATGAATTATTTATGTTTCCTCAGCAGGAAAAGTGAAAATGTTACCTAATCCAAACGCAACCATGAAATCCACATTAATTCTAAAGGGAATAATCTACATTTTTGGGTCAAGTAATGTTTCATGAAACCGCTAAATAATTTGCTCGTCCTGCAGTTTTTTAGATTGGTAGCTTGACCGTGAAAGGAAGAGATGATTTAGGGGAGAATAACAGAGGACAACTAGTAAAAGTTAAGAGACAGCTCATTTCCCTGGAATCCGATCTTCATTCCTTGCCTTAATGATCTAAGATGAGTTAATTTCTGGCTAATTTGGTTCTTTAAATAAGTTTATGAATCAGATTAAAAGACTGAACAAACTGATCTGTGATCACTGCTAGGGCTATGAAGGAGAGATCTATTGATCCTCAAAATCATTTTCAGCAATGCAATGACTGGCTGACAGCACTGCTGTGTGAAAACATCATCTGGTTAATATTCAATTACCCATGTGAGCAAAATTCTTTAAAATTTGTAGTACACCGTTTGTTTAATATGATATGCAATAACTTTCCACATTTGCAGTCTGCAAACGACTTTACACTTTCCAGTACACAAAAATTACAAGCATTTAGCTATTTATTTAGTCAAACTTTTAAAAAATTTCTTGATCATGACGTAAGGCATACCTGGCAGTTAAAAAAAAAAAAATTCACCAAAAAAAACATTTTTGATGTTTGAGAAGTGTCTGCAACTCCTGCACTTCATCAAATCACATGCCTGTTTGCTGTCAAAAAATGTGCATGACTCCTATAAACTGTTATTCCATACAGACCATTTCAATGTGGTGATGCCATTGGAACATGAACATTTGCTGCTTGTTGTCAAACTATTTTAATAACTTTACAAAAGGTCTTAACATTATTTATCAATATGTAGACCTTTTAGGATTCTCAGGAGCTATAGATATTAAAAATGTAAAACAGCAAATACTTTAAGACCATTGTTATTGTTTACATCCCTCAAAATGGTCTATAGGCTATAAAGCATGGTCATGTGCATTTCCATACACTCTCAGAAATTGTACTAAGCTGGGTTTGTACATTTTTAAAAGTATGCCTTTTGATTTGAAAAGTCCAAATTGGTGTCTTGAAATTAGCCCATATTCCTACATAGTTATTAATAAATGTTCACTTTTAATCACTTGGTGAGTACCACCCCTTGGTAGTTTCTGTTCCTTTGTTTCAAAAAATTTAGTTTGATCTTTAAATTAACTTTAACTTTTTAATACAGTGTATATAACATATAGGTTACTATTGTAATAAAATATTAGGTGGTGCATACAGTACTTTCAGCATCACCTTTGCCTGAGATTACACAATCTAATCTGGTTTATATTAAATTTAGCCTGGTTCTGAGCAGGTTTGAGCTATCAGACCTATGACAAGAACTCTCTGATAAGTTTTAAGGAACGAAATGATCCATCAATAATAAAATCCAGCTAAATTAGTAATTCACATTTGAAGAACAAACCCCTGGACTCAAAAGACACACTAATATCTATGATCATCATCATCATTATTAATATTATTATTGAAGTAAGATTTTTTTTAATTTCCTAATAAATAACAAATATAACATGTCATTTCTTGATAAATAGCCTCATTATTTATTTTTTATATGACATATATATTAAAATATGTGTTAGCTTTTGTAAGTGGTTTTATGTAATGTTCTCAATAATGTTTGTAAAGTAAACATAGGTCCCAAATGTGCCATTTACATATATTTCAAATAATATAGATAACAAGTGCATGTTTTTACCAAAACTAATATTGGATTTTATTTTAATGCGTGTGCATGTAATACAATATAATTTGCAGAAAGAAATTACGGGGTTCTTCTCTAAAGAAGTTGTTACTCCACCCCGTTTAAAGCATCATTGTGGGCATTTTACAATATAACTAACGTGGTTCAAGCGATGGATCTGCGATAGAGAAACTACGGGTTTTGAAAAACACTCGTCACTGCATCGTTCCAAACAATGCATCGTACTATGATAGTTCAGCTGTGAGTTATGTCGTTGTTTGGGAAGTATTTCTAACCCAGCTCATAGCAGAGCAGAGCAGTTACACTTATTTGCTCGCACTTTAGTCACCATTTGTTTTATATAATGAAAAAACTAGAATGAAAGTTTTGCTAAAAAAAAAAAAAAAAAAAAAAAGTTTTTTTTGAAACAGTTATTTTATGTTGCTCAAAATCATAAATTGTCACGGAATAAAATACATCCAGATGGAACATTTATTTGGATAAACTGACATTTTTCCTTTTTTAAATTTTTTTAAATTATAGTCCTGCTGATCCTGTCAAATCAATAACCAAATCAATTTAATTGAGTATTCCATGTATGAAGAACGGATTCCTGGACTCAAAAGATGTGCTAAAGGCTGCATTCTTTAACCATTATAAGTGGACCTGTCATATCAGAAGCACAAGTTCCAATCCACTCATGGCTGAGCAGAAGCAGAGCGGTTACACTTGTGTACCCGGCATTTAGTGACCATTTATTTTGTACAATAGAAAAAAGTAGCATGAGCGTTTTGCTAAAAAAACTCAAAGATTTTAAACAGTTTTGTGTTGCTCAGAATCATAAATTGTCATCCAATAAAATACATACAGATGGAACATTTATTAGGATAAACTGACCTTTGTCCTCTATTAATTTTAGAAATGATAGTCCTGCTGACCACAGGAGAATGGTTTGATCGTGTCAAAACATCAGTAAGAAAATCCATCTAATTGAGTAATCCATGTAAGAAGAACGGATTCCTGGAGTCAAAAGATGTGCTAATGTTTAATGCTTAAGGCTGCAGTCTTTAACATCCTTTTTAATGAACCTGCCATGGTGGAAGCACTAGTTCCAATCCTGCTAATAGTAGAGCAAAATCAGAGTGGTTACACTTATTTACCCGACATTTGATGAAGATTTTTTTTAATGGAATGGAAAAAGTAGCATAAAAGTTTTGCTTAAAAAACTCAAAGTTTTGAAACAGTTGTTTTGTGTTGCGCAGAATCATAAATTTTCAACCTTCATATTAATACTGTAGAAAAACTGGCCCAATCACGCAGAAGCATAGGCACATTCATGGCACACCATTCAAACAAAACCTTTCTTACTGTTGAATTGTTTAAAAAGTTCATAAAATTGGGCCACTGTTAAGAAGTTCCTGGGGTATGTCCATTCAATCCGTTGACCTCCGTGGACGTCCTGCGCATGTACCCAGAGTATTCACCAATGAATGACCCATCTTCATTGAACTCGCAGTCATCATCCTCTGATATCTCAGAGCTATCCTCACTGCGATCATCCTCTGTGGCGTCTCGGAACAATTGCTGGCTGCTCTTCAGCGGCTTCTCATCATTGTCACTGTCAAACGACAAAACAAATGAGTCAAATTCGGCGCTGAGTGACTAAGAATATGATACTAGTCGAGGCTGGCAGACAGAGCGAGCAAGGAGGGGTTGTAGGGGAAGGATGCAATCACTGCTTTCTGCTAATTACTAATTGCAAAGGTTTCAAGGCCTGATGGCAGTTCTCAAAACTAAAGAGATAGAAAATTGCAGAGCACCGGTCACAGCAGCCGCCGACTTAAGAGATGCTTTGTGTGCCTGTAGACAAACAGCCTGTCAGGTTACTTTAGTCCCTGAGGAATGATGGGACAAACCAAAATTAGCTGCCAATTTGAGAGCAGGCAGACTGCCAGCAAGCAGGTGTCTGTAAAGAGACAGGGGGTCACCTCGTAAGCTCCCAATTACTATGAGATGCCACAATCTTGGCGAGAGCGATAAAATGCATCCAGACAGAACATTTATTAGGATAAACTGACATTTGTCCTCTTTTATTTTTAGAAATAATAGTCCTGCTGACCACAGGAGAACTTTTCACGCTGCAGCATTGCATCATCTCTTATAAAATATTAGCATGAACAGAAAACACATGCCTTCACCAATTAATTAGTGCAAATAAAACCTCGATAGAATATATCTTTCCATTATACCGTCATACAACATTGCATCATCTGCTAAATATATTCAGAAAACGCATGCCTTTGCCAATTAATTAGTACAAATAATACTTTTCCATTATATATTTATACAGAGATATTATCAATCTTGTATCAATCAAGTTGTTTTTTTAAGGCTCTGGTTAAATATCATAAAAAATCCAGTAAAATACTGTTTAAAAATGGTAACATGTTAAAGAGAGGACTATGGTTTAAAATAACTCCAATTTAAAAATATACTGAAGCTGCAAGCAGCCATTAAAGGACCAAGCAAGTCCAGAGGGAGAAGCAAGTTTGGCAGGGAGCATCAGACCAAGAAGTAGAACAACGAATAGCTGAAGACAGTTTAAGGTTATTTTACTCAAAATATCAGAATCAAAATATCATCTGATTTTATTACGATTAAGACAATAGGCTGATTAAGAGTTTACTATGTAAACATTGATTTTTGATTAATTTAATCTGATTAAGGTCATAATCAAACTAAACAGAAATCTAAACATTACTGAAGTGCTGTACAGACATGTAAACACCTTAATCAAACTATTACCATAGTGTAGAATTTTGCGACAGGATAGTCTATACACACACAGCTGTTTGACGCTATTCTCTGCACCTACCGAGTCAGTGAAGGACCACAGACACCTGCATCACAAAATAGAGGGCTTTTCCCCCCATACGGTGTATGCTATCAAATTCCATTAAAACAACACTCTTTCAGCAGTTCATACTTCATCCAAAATCATGAAATGGCATGAAATGTTCCTGAATGAAAGTGAAAGTGCCAAACTGAGGTTAAAGTCAACAAAATAAGAATAAACATCCGAACATGAAACTCTGGAAGAAATGTCGATAGCCTGGTGGCGCAATGACTTTAATCCCACTATGTGCTATAACATGTGAAACGGGATCATGAAAGGAACATCCAAAAAGCGGCTCTTGTAAACATCTTAATCATAATATTGTCTTGTTCAGATTAAGGCAAATAATTTGATTACTGATGTCCATGTAAACGAAGTCATAGTAAGGTGACAGTGACACCAAAAGTTTGGTGTTAATATGTTTATGCATTTCAATGATAAGGCCTTAGTGCAGTTTGGCATCATGCCAGCACATTTGCCAATGCAGTAAACAAAAAACACTTTGCCAATTGAGTCATTCTATAACTTTTTGACAGTATGGCAAATATGTAAATTTTAATGGTCCTGGATGATTTGTAACACTTGACCCATAGGTGGGACTGTTATCAAATGTATGTGTAAAGCCTAAAATGTGGTTTCAATATCTAAAGTGTTGCAGAGATAAAGTCTTAGATGTTGTGCTAGCACATTTAAGGATGCAGTAAACAGAAACAGTTTTGCCTATCAATACAACATTACAATTTTTTTGCAAAAAGAAAATCAAATTGTAGAAGATCAAATTGTTTGTTTGATTGTGGCATAATTGATATCAATGACGTCGGCAGGACCTAAGGATTAAACCAAGATCAGTCACATCACAATAAGGGGAACTTTCCAAGAGTTGATAGCCACTTAAATATATATTTTTAAAAACTTTAGCTACAAATTGGTGCTGCTCTAAAACATATTGTTTACTTTCAGGGCATGTGTTGAAGATGCATAATGAGTTTTGTAAAGATATATCAATGTATGTGCATTCCAAATCGCATACTACAAATTTTGCATAGTATTAAATAGCGCACTGACAGTCAAATATTCTTTTTATTCTAAAAAGCATAAGTGCACTTTAATTACCCGGTTGATGCACTAAATCAGTTATTAAAAATAAGTGTGGAATGTTGGACACTTCACACATTCAACGGCCGCAGTTTTGCTCAAGTAGCAGAAGGGGTGGAGCTATCGGGCACTGTATTATATAATTTTTTTTTTGCCCTTGCCAAATTCTCTCTCACCCCTTAACTATCATGGCCTCCCAATCATCTCCATCCACTGAATTGGCTTTATCCTTGTCTCTCCACTCCCCCTATAGCTGGTGTGTGGTGAGCGCACTGACACCGTTGTCCTGTGGCTGCCGTCGCATCATCCAAGTGAATGCTACACACTGGTGGTGGTGTGGAGAGACCCCCTCATGACTGTGAAGCAGGTGTATGGCCATATACGAATAACGTGCTATGTAAATATTGCATTGTGTTACATTACATTTTTTTTAGATTGTGAATGCAAAATTCTCCCATGAGAGTGATCATTCTACCTCCCGATTGTGAATGAGGTTATACTCATGGCGGGTACTATTTGGTAGCTTGTAATGTATTTCACTAATTTGGCAATGGTTTGAATATCTGCTAAATAAAAAAAAAATGTTAGTGTTCCAATTGAGAAACTAAATTCATATACTATGCTGTATGAGTGTATAAGTACATAATGCACAAGTACAGAGTGTATCGTGCACCATTTAAGATGCAGTGTGTGTTTGCATAAAATAGTATTTTTGGACAAAATTCAAATGACAATCATGGGGAAACTGGATTTCACTTAATTCAGTATGCCGCTTTGAATTTAATGAGACCAGTTTTAGGAATTTTGGCAAAAGCGTTAAGGAGCTAGAAGCAAAAAATATAGAATATATTTGTCCATCTCTTGAACACAAGGTGGCACTATGCAAAACTTTGTTCACGGCTATCATTACGTGCACATCATGATTTTGCCAAGTATGATGCGATCCTGGATTAGCATCTTTTCTATTTTTTCTTGAAAATTAAATCCACCTATTCCTATTCCCTACCGCAACCATAGCTGTTTCCCAAAGTCAGAGGAAAATAATAGTTGGACAACAATTATGTAGAAGTGCATAAACCTCACCGTAAGCCTAAACTTAACATTATTGGTAAACATTTATAATTCTGATTGGCTGACTGGAATTTTGTTCTAGGATCAACATAAATGTTACTCCAGGAATATTTCCTACTTGGTGAAATCAGCCTTATCTCACAAGAAAATGTATTTTATGTTTTGTCAGTTTCGTGCCTAATTCGTATGAAATCGTACAACTTCAGTCTTCCGAAAATGTATAAATTTATTTAAAAAATTATATTTTATTTGAGAGTAGTTTGACTAATCAATTTGAATGTCATAACTAAGATAATCTAAACCCATTGGTCAAAATTGGAAAAATAGCCTAAGTTAAAAAAGTAGTTTTTAAACTAAATAAACTATTTAGTTTATAATAAACTATTATTATTAATAATAACTATTATTATTATTATTATTATTATTAGTATTATTATTATTTGGTGTTTATTTGAATCAACATGAGCCTAGAGATCATCAGAGGGAGAAAACATTGAATCAAAAGTTATTAGCATAAACATATGTGCACATTTGGACAAGTGGTGGCACTAGAGAGTTGGTGTTAGAAGCTATTTGAAAAATAAACTGTAAAGTAAAGTTAAAAAAATAATAATAATTGTAAAGCAAAGACGCACCATTTGAGCAGCAAATCATATTAAAATGATTTCAAAATAAACTGAATACATCACACAATAAAGATTTTGATTCATAATTCTATTTCATAATACTAAGCATTTTTAATCAAGCATCTATGGGGAGCATAAGATAACTAAAAAAAACAACAATATTTTAAATGCAGGCCGATCTAAAAGTCTTCCCTCAGCTAGTATTAGTAAATTCCTGTGGTTGTCTATAAGATCTTACAATCCCTGTATTCAGCCCACTATATCATGTCAAATGCCATCAATGGCATAACAGGATAAACCAGCTCTTCTATTCCCAGCAGAGTAATAAATCAGTAGCCTCCTTGTGTAAGGCAGAGTAATGCAGTTTTGAAAGCCTCTGAGGCTCCACAGCTGCTCCGGGACGCTCTTCTCTATCAGATAGCAGATGTTGGAGCGTAACTCCCCAAACAAGGCCAGCGTACAGATCACACTCCAAACCTCTGCTGAAGCTGCACTTCTTTCCTGAGGGAGGAATAAAAGCAGCATCTCTGTGTCGAAGCGTAATGAGATGGAAACGCATTTACGGATTTCAGCTTCTCCATATGCAAGAATACAAGTTAACTGCTCGCCTCTGGTCTGTTTTCTACACATGCCGTTTAATGTGCTACTGGTTGCTGTGAATTTGCTTGTGACACAGTGTCAGACTCATGGATTGATAGGATGATAATGTTGGTTCAACATTACACCTTTCATCCACCTTATTTTTTTACATTACAGATTGACAGATTTTATATACTGCTGTCATTCTTTTGGGTGTAGACAAATCTGCTTTTTATAATGCTTGATATTTTAGCTAGTATTTCATGGTATATATATATATATATATATATATATGCATATGTGCATAGAAAAATAAGGTGAAAAGCATTCAAATGATTGCTTAGCAAAATGGCTAAAAGCTTTCCAGCCATTTGTGATTATTGGCTCTTTAATAGTGATGATTTTAAAATGTTTTCAAATCTTAAGCTCACCAAGCAAGGAAGAGCGTCAAATAATAACTTCTAGTTGATCATTTGGAAAAGTGGCAGAAGGTAGATTTTTCAGATGAATCATCTGTTGAACTTCATCCCAATAATCACAAAAACTGCAGAACACCTATTGGAACTCGCATGGATCCAAGATTCTCACAGAAATCAGTCAGGTTTGGTGAAGGAAAAATCATGGTTTGTTGTTACATTCAGTATGGTGGTGTACGAGTGATCTGCAGAATGGATGGCAACATCGACAGCCTGAGGTATCAAGACATTTGTGCTTCCCATAACATTACAAACTACAGTAGAGGGCAAATTCTTCAGCAGGATAGCGCTCCTTCTCATACTTCAGGCTCCACATCAAAGTTCCTAATGGCAATGAAAGTCAAGGTGCTCCAGGATTGGCCAGACCAGTCACTAGACATTTTTCCACTGCACCATGACTTTATTTTCCATACTGTACATTATTTCCGTTAAGTGACAAGATGCTTGTCTAAGCAAATTCAGACCTTACTGTCCTACTTAAATAATTAAAAATCAAGGCATGATCATTTTTTATTTTGGTAAAAATAAGTGTCAGGAAGTGCATTGTAAAATGCTTAAAGAACTTTTTTTAAAGAACTTTTTAATATTTTAATATAGTTAAAAATTTTTAAAATTTTCATCTTGTCAAAACTGTATTTTCAGCATCATTTCATCGTTCAGTGTCACCTTAAGAAATCATTCTAGTATGATGATGAGGACATATTTACTATTTGAATCATAGTTGAGAACCATCTTACAAAAATGATCCTTAAAAAATAATTTAATATGACTTTACTCTGTTTATATAAAAGTTTCTATTATATATATGTATATATATATATATATATATATATATATATATATATATATATATATATATATATATATATATATATATATACGTGACAAACTTCATAGATATATATATATATATATATATATATATATATATATATATATATATATATATATATATATATATATATATATATATATATATATATACACACATGACAAACTTTACACTAAAATCTAAAGTCATATATTTTTTAAAATATGTATTACTCTTATTTATTACATTTTAATAGATTTCTATTATATTCTAATGCATTCATATATTTCTAAATATATCAAATATAATTCTATAATATTTACATTTTTTCTATTATAATATATTCAATAAAATGTAGGTGGTAGAAGAAAATAAACTCCAACATGTTTTGAATAAGTGGATGTTCAACAAATGATGACAAATTTGTAATGTTTAAACTATTCGTTTGAAGCACAATACAATACTACAACTATAACCACATAACACAGCACTAAAGATCTTTTTGAGCTAAACAAATTTGTCGTTCTCTACCTGTAGGCTAGTGAGCACACAGAGTCAGTTCAGTGCTTTCCATGAGGCTCCGAAGTAAATGGCATGCATGCAGAGTTTGTTTACACAAGATAAAGGCATTAATGTTACAGCAACTCAGTGAGATGAAGAGCAAGTTGTGAGATCTATAACATAAAAATATGGCTCTCTGACCTGTATTCACAGGGTGTTTCTTCATCCATGCCATGAGATTCAGGATCAGCTGGAATGTTCTCCTTTTCCTTTACTGCCATGACAAAAAAAACAAAATATAGAGAGATGTTTATTTTAATGTATTATTTTTCAGGCAATTGATTTTAGTGAAACTACAACATTCAAGCAGAGCACTTTGCTTTGTTTACTGATTTTTCTCAATTGCTTTTGAAATTTCCAGCCTTGATATCATTTCAAAAGGGACACTGTTGTGATTCAAAAGAGATCCTATTGATATCTAATTGTGTTCGTGAACAAGGTGTGTAAACATTCAATACTTTATATTCACAGGTTTAGAAGATTATTTTGTGATTTGTTCTGTGAAAGCATCTAGGACTCTGACTGCGTTTCTGATAAACTGCTGTGTATGACTCACCACAGTGTTAAACAGTTTAGTTTTACAGATTTTTTTAGCCATTCAGCTGATTTCTGGGTCTGGCAGAAGCATTTTTTTTGCTTAGCTTAGAATACATCATAAAATTGGATTAGAACATTAGCATATCACTCAAATAAAAAAAAAAAGTTTCAAAATTCTATTCTGTAGTTATACCATACTAAGACCAATGGAAAGTTAAAAGTTGCTATTATCTAGGTCAGTGTGTCAAAGAACTATACTCTCATGGCAGCATAATAATCAAGAACTTTGCTGTCATACCCTTGCTGCTGCAAACGCAATGCTACACACCACACTGTTTCCTAGTCCCCAGCTTGGTAACTCAGCAACAGTCCTTAATAAAATCAGCACATTATTTATTTTTTTATTATTTGAAGGAGATGTTAACGGCACTTTATTTTGATTATGATTTTGATTTATTTTATTTTGATGGTCCAATTGAGTATTAGTACACTGTCTAGTTAAAATCTGTAGATACTGACATTAAACAGTCCTTCAGCAGACATTTAACTGGCTTTCAATCAATTCACTGGTGGGGAAACCGCACTTCTATGTCACTTTGCGGTGAGCTTCAAAATGGGAAGGAGGGTGTAGGCGATCGTAAACTACGGTCAACCAAAGTAACGCCCATGCTACTGTGACGCTTGGGTTGGGACTGTTGGGAAGGTATAGGCGATTATCAACTTCTGCCCACAAAGGAAATGCTCATGCTACTGTGATGGTTGGGTTTAGGGTAGAGAGAGGTGTAGGCAATAGCCAACTACTACCCACTAAAATAACTCCCATGCTACTGTGATGGTTGGGTTTAGGGTAGAGGAAGGTGTAGGCGATCGTCAACTACTGTCCACCAAGGTAATGCTCATGCTACTGTGACAGTTGGGTTAAGGGTAGAGGGAGGTGTAGGCAATCGTCAACTACTGCCCACTAAGGTAACGCCCATGCTACTGTGATGGATGGGTTTGGGGTAGAGGGAGGTGTAGGGGATTGTCAACTACGTAGCGAACCAATATGTCAGTGGACACACTATACCTACACAGTTCTGTCCAAACAGCTTACAAAACATGATTGTCATCATACTGTAGGTGCCCCTAAGATTGGATATTGACACAAATTGTATAGTAGTTTAAATTACACAAGCATGTAAGCATGTTTCTGCACAATTAATTACGTTTTTTTTTCTTTTTTTTTCTTTTTTTTTATATTTATTCTTACAAAAAATTTGGTTAAAACTTGCTCCTTTAAACAGCACTTGGAAAATATATATATATATATATATATATATATATAAAAAAAAAATTAACCAACCAATTTCACCAAAGAGCTAATAATTCAACTGTATGTGCATATACAGTATATATATATATATATATATATATATATATATATATATATATATATATATGCACATACAGTTGAATTATTAGCTCTCTTTGGTGAAATTGATTATTTATATATATATATATAAATATATATATATATATATATATATAGGGTAAGGGTTATATAATTACTGGACTGCAAATAATAATGTTTAGACCAAACAAAAATCCTAGATAGAAAGATTTAATGTTAACATATATATAAATATATATGTATATTTATATAGGGTAAGGGTTATATAATTACTGGACTGCAAATAATAATGTTTAGACCAAACAAAAATCCTAGATAGAAAGATTTAATGTTAACAAGTATTGATACTTGTTTAAAAAACTAAATAGATTCATTCATTCGTTTGTGTATTCCTATTTCTTCAATCTATTCCTTCATTTATCAGAGTGGCCACAGAGGAATAAACCGCCAACTACTTTGGCATATGCTTTACACAGCGGATGCATTTCCAGCCATGACCCAGTAGTGGGAAAACATGATAAATTAAATTTAATAAATGCACATTATTAGAATTTTCCTAGTATTTAATTTATGTAAAAATGTGCCATAGTAATCAGGTCAAGAAGTTCCCCAATTAGATCCATTAACTGCATTTCTGATTGTTTTCTTCAACAGCAATGCATAGTAAGATCGCAATAGGAGAGGGTGAGGACTGCATGGCAATAAAGCTCACTGATCTCAGGATATCTGTTCAACACAGCTAGAAGTAAGTCTGTAGTTCTCAGTGACATACAGACCCACACAACACAACATTTACAAAAGCACCAAGCTCAGTTGTAGATGCTGAGAGTTTAGCAGTGGCTGTGGGAGGCTGTGTGACCTCTAAAGCTGTCTGTGTCTTACCTGCGTATTTGCCACCTTTGTTCTTGAGCACAAAACAGCCGATGAGGACAAGCAGAGTTAGCAAAGCCACCGCGCACATCATCCCCACAAACCACTCCTGAGATCCCATCTCTTGTCTGCTAGAAGCTGCAAGGACAAAGGAGAGTTAGTCTTTGGAAAATTGCAATTCATGAAAAATCACACTGGTGTCAGTTTGAAAATATAAAAAATTACAGTTGGTATAGAAGACCAGTCATGCCTTTAATGGCATATTTATATATAAAAGCAATTAATGTAAAAAAAAAAACAAAAGAAAAAACAAAAAAAACAAAGGGGACTATTTAAAATTGAATAAAATATGTACAGTATAAAGTTTAGTTTGGCCACCTATGCTAATTTTCATAGTTACAAGCTATAGGCTGCTGGCCTTTCAAATCAGCTATTTCATTTGGGTATATTTCATACCCTAGGGAAAAAGCAACATTTGAGTTGTGACATAACATTTATTTAATCGACAGATTCAATGTAATTTAAGTCCTAACAAAAACAGACAGGTGCAAATTTTTGGGCACCCCAACAGAATAATGACATCAATCTTTTGTACAGCCACCTTTTGCTGAAATAACAGCCTGTAGATGCTTCTTATAGTTAAGAATAAGTCCCTGGATTCTTGCTTAAGGCATTTTGGATAATTCCTTTCTGCCCAATTTCTCCAGTTCAGTCTGATTTGATGGGTGCTGAGCATGAACAGCCTTTTCAAATCAATTCATAGATTTTCGGTGATGTTCAAGTCTAGGGACTGGCATGGCCATTCTTGAAAATTGTATCATGTCTGAGCATGAATTCCTTGGTAAATCTAGAACTGTGCTTTGGGTCATTGTCTTGCTAAAACATCTAATCCCGGAGTAACTTCAGCCTCTTGACTGATTTCAGAACATTGTTCTTAAAAATCTGCTTATACTGGTAGGAATCTATGCAACCTTTAACTCTGACAAGGTTTCTAGTAACTGTGCTTGTCACACATCCGCACAGCATGATGAACCCTCTACCATATTTTACAGTAGGGAGCAGTTTCTTCTCCTGGAATGTTGTTCATTTTTCACCATGCAAAGAGCATATGGTTGTGACATCTGTCCACAGCATATTTTTTCCAAAATGGACTCTTCTCAATGACATAATGCAGAAAAGTTTTTTTCTGCATCACCTTCCATTGAGCTGTTCTTTGTGAAGAGTGCACTGGATTGTGACATGATCTACAATGACATCATTAGCAGCAAGATGTTCCTGGAGCTCTTTGGATGTGGTCTGTGGGTTGTCTGTGACCATACTAACCATTATTCACCTTTGCTTTTCAGATATTTTTCTTGGTCTAGCACATTCTTCTTTCACAAAAACTGTTTTTGTGGCCTTCCATTTTCTTACTATATTTCTGACTGTGTAGATAGAGACTTTAAACCATAGCTTTTTGAATACTTCTCCTAATTCATGTTGATGTCATTAGGAAGTTATTTTGATGTTTCCATGTTGCTACTTTCAGGTTCACAATAAAGTGAAGCACAACTAGCAATCAGCTATTTTAAATATCTTTTTTCATGATTGGTTGCATCTGTGCTGCTACTCATACTACACACTATGTATTTCTTTCTGAAAAAAAAAATAAATAAAAAACATGACATTATCTAGCTTTCTCTAGAAATCGAATGGCATTTTACTGTGATCTTCTCTTATAAAGAAAGTGCATATTATTATGCAGCCACAGAGGGGTACCCAAATTTCTGCATAAGACTGTACTTTAGTAATAAGAGTTGAGTACTTGAAAATGGCATATCCTCAAACAGCATTGTTCCTGGTGAAAACAAGGCCAAACAGAATAAAACACTGACTCTGACGATCCACAAGGGATCATTAATATGCATCAATATGCTTGTGCTATGCATACCATTTATCCAAGACTATTAGTTTGAAAACAGGAGGGGCTTTACATGTTTTTTTCACATGTATATTGAGAAATGTGTAAGTTTTTACAATCTAGTTTCAATGAAATATTTCATAATTGTATATTGAAGATTTAACTGTTAAAATACCCCATAATGTGATTTCTTTTATTCACAGTAAATTAAAAATTAGTTTAAAATTAAAATTAAAAATTAAAAAATTTTAAATTAAAAATTAAAAATAAATGCAATCTTGGTGAGCTCATTTTAAAACAATTAAAAATCCTACTGATCCTAACCTTTTGACGGGTAGTGTAAATATTATGGTTCTTACACTCAACTCCTGGAGGGCCGTGGCTCTACACAGTTTTGCATTAACCGTAATCTAACACTGATATATGTAGCTCAAAGTGAATTAGAGATTATTTGAAGGAACTTCAAATGAATAGATTCTTTAAATGCGAACAAATGAATCACGCAGTGATTGTTTTAATGGAACATTTAGTTCAACTATGGCTATTGCTATTAAAAAAAAAAAAAAAAACTTTATGTAGGGTAACATAATCAAAGTTTAAGGCATTAGATTCATTAATGTGCACAGGCACATTTATTTATGCATAATTAAACTTTATTGACTAATCTAACAGAAACATTTAACAAACAAACATTCACACAGGCTACATCTGTTTCATATTGTATATTAGAATTTAAATTGTATATTATAATTTACACCCTGTATTGTTCAAATGATAATCTGATACAAACCTGTGAAGCAGAAACTAACATTAAAATTGCATCAATACAATGATTTATTATTTATTTATTTTTTGCTTTTAAGCTGATAAGTTCACTTTAATTAAAATTATTAAGTAAATGAACTACGTACAAAATTCGAAACATTGAGTCAACAAATTACAAGAGGTTCACTCACTTTAAGTAAAGTCAACTTGTCGCATTTAAGGCAATAGGTTTACTCATTGTTTTAAAGTAAAGTCAAGTCAAGTTTGTCCCTTGAAGGCTAAAATGTTCCTATCATATTTTATACTAAAGTTCTAATTTCACAGATTCTCTCTGATTTTTTTATAGTGTAATTTATAAACCTATAAAAGTGATGTATAATATTTAAAAACTAGCTTGCTCAATGGAATGGGAGAAGTTTCTCTAAATGCCCACAGTGCTAATGCAGCCACAGGAAGACTATCAGGTGCAGTGCTATGTCAGCGATACCTCTAATGCTGCTCTACAGGCTGAATTCTCTCACTTCTCACCTTTCCTGGTCTTGAAAACCTCTTCAAAAATGCTAGGGACACCAACCCTGCGTGAAGCCTGCAGCCGGACTGTGTACACAGTTCCTGGGCTGAGTCCTTCAACCAGATGGAAACCTTTAGATGTATTTAAAGCCTCTGAAAGCTGCCAGATACCATCACCTGGAGGAATAACCGCATATCCAGACAGCATTAGCCCACAACCCAGCAGAAAGAGCTGATGCCTATGATAGAGTAAAGTGATTCTTTGAAAGGTTAGAAAAGTTGATAAAGAAAGATTGGCATTAGGGCAGCAAATAAAACTTTTTAAAGACAAATATAGTCAACACTACTGGTAGGCTCAGAGGGCTGTTATCATCCACCCACATGATTAATTAGCAAATAGAGAAGACTCCAGATCCAGATCTGTTTTTACATTACTGTGACGTTTGGGTTTAGGGTTTGGGGTAGACATTATTAAAATACAATTAATGGAAAAATTTGTAAATAATATAATTAATTATCGTTAACTTCTGGCCACAGCCGTATGCGATCTATAGCTGATTAACTATGTGGATAGATGATCCAGAAGGCCCCTACTGGCCCATATCTATGATTACCACTGATAACATCCATTCAATCAAGTGATAACATTCGAATTGGCTGACCAGTAAATGGTATTTTACTGCATCTCATACCATTTCAAAAGCTGTTTTAATAAATTTGAAAATACATGAAAGTTCAATTTTAAAATCATTTAGTTAATAATTTTATTTATATTTTTATTTTATTTATTCATTATTTTTTATTTTTGCATAAAGAGAAATGGGAACACTTTATTTTGATGGGCCATTTGAGTATTAGTAAACTGTCTGCTTAATATCTGGTGATACTGCTAAACAGACATTTAACTGACAATTAGAAACTTTGAAAGTACTTGTCAACTTACACTAACCCTAACCCCAACCTCAACCTAATAGTCTATTTATAATCTAATGAGAATTAGTTGACATGTAGATGCAATGTAACTTAAACTCAACAAACCAACCATCAACATATAGTGTGACCAGAAAAACTAAAATACATCTTTATATATATATATATATATATATATATATATATATATATATATATAATTTCATAGCTAACTCATTAGGTTTGAGTTCTGCTTAATATTATCATTTTTTGATTTACCATAACTCTTTTTCATTAAGTCAAAGTCATTTTTTTTTTTTTAAACTGACTTTTTAAAATTTTGTTATTCACTGTTGGGTTTTACAGTGTATACATGGTCACACTATACAATAAGGTTACATTAGTTAATATTATTCTGTGTATTTACTAACATGAATTATTAATTATTAATAATTTATAGCATTTATTTACATAAAATACATATATTGCTATGACGTGTGTTAATGCACAGCGCATTGACATGAACAAACAATGAACATCTTTATTTCCGTTAACTAACATTACCAAAGAGGAATGACTACTGCAATAAATGTATTGTTCATTGTTTGATCATGTTGATAAATACATTATCCAACATTAACAAACACAACCTTATTGTAAGGTGTTACTAAAAATATAGTATGAGCAATCACAAAAAAATATACAGATGGAGACAAAATAAATAGCCTTCCTGCTAAATTTTAATTATGTTTTAAATATTTCCCAAGTGCTGTTTACAAGAGTAGAAACATGTTCAGAGTATTTCCTATTATTAAGATTTTTTTTTTCATTGTCTACAAAACTATTATTACAAAATGATTTATTCAATTAACCTATCTTGTAGAGTTTTCCTAATTAACCCAGTTTAGCCTTTAAATGCAATTTTAAGCTCAATATTAGTATCATGGGAAATAAATAGTAAAATATAATATCTTGTCATCATGGAAAGACAAGGAAAATTAGTTATAAGTAATTAGTTGAATAGTGCTTTAAATGCCATCTGAAATGTTCTTCTACAATAAGCATTTTTCGCAAGCTCCTGTCTTTATGTTCAGTAAATCCACAAGTATGACAAAAAAAAGGTTGTTTGCATTGCTTTTAAAGTGAAATAACTGAACATAAACAATGGAGGCTGAGAAAATACTCAATTTAGAAGAAAATTTCAGACAGCACTTAGAGGTTTTTGCATCTGCACTCTAAAAAATAACTCAAGAGGTCTGTTACCACTGCATAGTTCAATACATTATTGTAACTTAAAAATCCTAAAATGCTGATTAGATTTAAAATAAACTTTAAATATTTTTTTTAAGTTGCCAGAATAATTTTATTAAGTTTTCAAAACAGGAAAATATTGATAATTACATCAATTTAAAAATGCAGCTAATTTAAAGGTAACTATGTCTGTCAGTTGCTTTAAAACAGTATTTAACTTATAGCAACCCAAATAAATTGGGTTGATAACTCACACTAATGGAGTTGTTTTGTATTTTTAAGTCCACACACTGATGTTTTTTTGTTATTTTTTACACTGATAATATGGGACAGTACATGTTTTTGTTTTGTAAAACAAGGAAAACCTGTGGTTTAATACAAATAAAAAATACAGAAAAACAAAAATGTTGTTAAATGTATTTCTTACAAGCATGAACAGTAAATTCGAAAAAAAAAAAAATTCGGCTACTTTATTTATTTGGGGTTCTAAACTTGAAAATGTGCATGTAATCAAGTACATAGCACTGGATTTGTTTTCAATTTTAAAATGAAAAAAATAATTGAAACAACATTTTTTTGAGTACTCAACTTATATATTTAAGGTTTTTGCTTTTTAAAATGCCTCTGATTGAAGAAGAAAATATTTGGCTAACATAATAAAGTTTGTTGTCTGAACTTCATTTTGTTAGATGTTGTCGTAAATTCAATATATTAATGCAAACTGTTGCGTTCATTTTTATTATTTTTTTTGTCTAAACAATATTTTTTAGAGTGTGAACTCTTCAGTTATTAAAACAATTATGATTAAAAAGTTGTTTAAAAAATCTCCCCGTCACACAGCACTTGGGAAACTATGTTAAAAGAATTACCATTTTGCTAATAATAGTTTTGCCTTCAACTCTATATAGTTTATAATACAGATCTAAATCTGCACATTGATCAAAATGCTAAATAACAACTGAATCCAAGAAGTATGCCAGAAATAATAAACAAATTAACAAAACAGTTCTCATTTGCAGGCCTAAAGGTTATTTTTTCTAAAATTCCTCAGTGTTGTAAAAACTGGACCATAACAAAGCGGTTTGAGGAGTGAGAATCTTACGGTGGTTCATTATAGCAACATAGAGCTGTGAATCTGAATGCTCTCCTCTGGTTCTCCAGCTGATTCTTGCAGAAGTGTCTCTTACAAAGGTCGATACGTTGAGCACGACTGAGAGAAATACAAAGAAAACAAGATAGAACAATACAGGGAAGACTTTCAAAAGTTTTAGCTCCTGAAAAAGAAACCCATACACCAATAGCCAGGAATGAGCAATGATAGAAAAAAAATGTGTCATCTACTGTAAATAAAAACATTTAAGCCAACATGAAATCAATTTTAGTAACTCTGTAGTTTAAATCACAATTCGTATAACTACTGGCTTATTATATGTTCATTATTATAATATTAACTGTGTTTTAGCACTTATAAAGCATGATCTTAAACATAACTAATCCTACCTAATTCCAATAATTAATACTAATACTAATCCCCAATAATAGCCTGTTTATGTTTATGGTTAGTTAATAATATGATACATAATAATGTGAATTGTACATTAAAATAAAGTGGTGCCAATCTTTTATATACTGTAATACTTTTTTGTTTTATCTATTGAAGGAAATTGAAGGGCATGATCTCTGTTTGAGCAAATGGGGTTGTCAGACATAAATATTTTAGTTTTTTAGACTACATAATATATGTTTACTTTAATTTAGGGACTAAAGTCTTACTATTAACTAGTGACTTATTACCTGCAAATTATTAAGATATTGACTGCTGTCCATGATCTTCATTTGCATTACTAATTCCAGTACATAGACATAACTACTGCATAACTATTAATAAGCAGCATATTAGGGGTTTATTAAGGCTTATTTCATAGTTAATGGTTTGCTAAAAGAGAGAATTTTACCTTAGATTTACAGTTTTAAATGATGACTGTAATGATATTTGTTTACAGAATAATATACTACATACATAAATATTATATTATAATACTGGTGTAATATTACATAAAAAAAGATGGTTTGAGACATAAGGCTTGGCTTTATATTGATCTTGTTCGCTAGATTATTATTATTTTTAAAATGAAATAAATTAATCAAATTTGCTAAACTCAATAGAAAAAATACTGAGGGTGTCACACACCGAGACGCTGACAATGGAGTTGCACATCCCACAAATGTATGTGTGTAGTATTTAAAGTCCATGTAATCAGTTTGTGTTGATCCTCTCGCTGTGTGTGTGCTTATCACCGGAATTTGAAACTGGTGTTTGTGAGTGGTGTGCATGTATGGAGTTGTGGTACATAATGTGGCAGATTTGTAGTTCTTGTCTTGGTGGCAGAGCTCAGACACTAGCTCTGTCTCGTCCTGTTTTTGTCATTGTGTTTCTCTGTGTGTGCGCGCGTGCCGTCGTGGGTGTACGCAGAGTGTGCGCGCTCCCGCTTAATGCGGCCGCGCGGGCTCTGCGTGCCTCGGACGCGCGCGCTCTTGTACTCGTGTTTGTGTTTTCATCTGTCTGCACAGTGGTGTTTCATTCCCAGTGTCTCAGTCTAGTTGGTTTCAGTTTTGGTCGGCGCTGGGATGAAACATGCACGCTGCATGTGTGAGTGCACGGTGAGTGTTTTCATTCATCGTGTACTCGTGTCTTTCATTTTGTTTGTCATTACGTGTTGTTTGAAGTCTTGTCCTGTCGTGTTTCCAATCCTGATCCTTGCCAGCCTGCCCAGTCCAGTTTGTTTTTGTATGTATTTGTTTTGTTAATGTTTTCCCCCTCGGAGTAGTTTATTTTGCATTTTATTTTATGTTTATTATTTAATAAATTCCCCATTTTCCTGCACTTGAGTCCTTGCTCCTTTTTCCCCATTTCCCATCCACAACCCTGACAGAACCGAGTGTTTACCAGCGACGTGCACCCACAAGATCATAATAGAGGAAAGCCACAGAAGTTTTTTTTTTTTTTTTTTTTTGTCTTTTGACATTATTTTACCTCTGCTACTCTGTTATTATTTTATGTTATTTTATTGTTGTTATTTTTAGACATGACACCAACTCAAACTGAATACTACACTTTATTTAAAAGTTATCCATTGAGACATTTTCAGATTAACTAAATGTAAATGTAAATATTCATTCTCAGGGCTCATTTCTGTAATGCACTGCAAAAAAATAAATAAATAAGTAAATACGTTTTTTTTTTTTTTTGTCCAACTATCTACATATTCCTATGTCAGAAAGAATTTTAGACAAGTTATAAATTTGTTTGATTTAATTCAATTCTAGTATATCTCTATAGCGCTTTTACATTGTTGATCAAAGCCACTTAACGTAGAAGCTAGTAAAGTCCAGATTTCCAGATTTATATGTCAGTTATATGTCAAAATTAAGTGAGTCTTTCCTGAAAACAAACGATGGGAAAAACAAAATCATTATGTTTTTGGTCTGAAATAAGAATGTTTTACTAATATACACTAACTGGTCACTTTATTAGGTACACCTGTCCAACTGCTCTTTAATGCAAATTTCTAATCAACCAATCACATGATTGGTTACAATTACATGATTAATGCACCATGTCATAAAGCACAAATCCTCTCAGACTTGTTTCTTGAACATGACAAGGAGTTCACTGTACTCAAATGGCCCCCATAGTTACCAGATCACAATCCAATAGAACAACCTTGGGATGTGGTTGTTAAATCTGTGCAATGAAGGATTAAGGCAAAAGGAGGCCCAACCCTGGTACTAGTAAGGCGTACCTAATAAAGCAGCTGAT